ACCTTGGCTTCCTCTAAGCTCAGATCCCTTGGGCCCAGGGTCTCCCCACAACCTGATGAAGAGCTAATGCTCAAAGCTGGCCCCCTCTCATCCCCACTGTGTGCTGGAGGCGTGAGGGGCATCTCTGAGCAGGGCGGGCCTGTCCCCCGCACCGGCTGTCCCTCTGTCCAGCACCATGGCGTTTTGGGTAGGACTTCTGAGGGATTCTTATTGACATTTATAAGGCCACTCCCATGGAGGCGAGTCGACCCACAGGGGACAGGCTAGAGCGGCCCCATAGGTTCCGAGACTAAGTGTTTATGGGAACAGACTGCTTCCCCTTCCTCCTTCCAGCAACTGAGGGTCTGAACGCTAAACACGGCGCCACTTAGGGTTCTTGTCACATTACGAAGACAAATGGGAATAGTTACCACTGGAGCCCCCCCAGTGACCTCAGTAAGTCGGGCGCCTGGACCAGATGCCCCGGGGAGGCCACAAGGTGACTCTTTCCCTTTCTGGGTCAGGGGTGTGTCTTGGGTCAGGAGGCCAGGACAAGTGGAGCTGGAGGGTGACGCTGGCCTGATTTCAGTGGGGTCACGCGTCATGCTGACCACTCTCTGGGGTTAGGAAAGACCGAGCATCGTGGTTGCTCACGTGGAGGGTAGGTAAGAATCAGGGAGAGGGACACACTGTCCTCAAATGCCCCCAACACCTGTCAGGCGGAGCAGGGCCGGGAAGTGATTTGCTCTGTTTTATACCGTTCACGGGAAGTAAAACCAGAATAGCCACATGTCCCCTGGTGGCCTGGACCCAGCACCCTCCCAGTGCTGGTCCAAACCCGTGTCCACCCACGCCCGGTCTGCAGTACCCATGCTGCCCCACACCTAGTGCTGGTGTCCCCCCTCTGCTCTCTGATGCTGGGCACTGCTGCCTCCGGGACCCCTCCTCTCTGCACAGGAAAGACCCCCACCAGCTCCTCTGTGTTCCACTCGCCCCTGTGTGCCAAGTGTGTCACGGGCTGTGATGTGGGCGTGTCCCAGCTGTGATGTGGGTGTGTCCCTGCTGTGATGTGGGCGTGTCCCAGCTGTGACGTGGGCGTGTCCCAGTTGTGATGTGGGTGTGTCCCTGCTGTTATGTGGGTATGTCCCTGTTGTGATGTGGGTGTGTCCCTGCTGTTATGTGGGCGTGTCCTGGCTGTGATGTGGGTGTGTCCCTGTTGTGATGTGGGTGTGTCCA